GATGTCAGGCTATAAATGCTTGGTAGTAAAAACAGTTTCTAAATTGACAGCTGGACTAGTGTTGCCAAATTTTTAGACTTAAAAGTACAAATTTGGTTACCAAGGTTTATTACCACTGGCTACTATTGGTCATTCCACTGTTATGACGTTTTACCAGGGCTTGGAAAAAATACTTTGCAACTTGCAAATATCCACATATATCATATGTTAAACCATTAAAAAAGGAATACTTATCACATGATGTTTTCTGGTTCTTATCAGTTATTCACCCATATTCTATTAAATTTGTTAATATTGTTTTAACAGGGTCAAAGCCTCGCTCAAATTCAGCTGTTCAATCTGTTATAATTCACTGCGGAAGAAACCTGAACATTTGACAAATATTTGATAAATAGTGATGCTAAGGAGAAGGAAATGGGCAAGAGAGTGAGTTAAATCCCACTAGTGACCAAGACAGAATTTCTCCTTACAGTGTCAATACAATATCAAGCAGGCAGGTGATGAGAATAGAGAAGAATATCAATCATGGGATTATTAGTTGATCCAATACCAAATTCTCTGAACTAACATCATAAGAATTGTATGGTAGACAGTAAGGAGAATTACCAATGAGATCTTGGGAGTGAAAGGGTTATGATAGTAAATATAAAATGTGACTGGTTGAATCAAGGGATGATGACACTGATTTTTAAAGTTGTAGTGTTTTAGAATGTTTAAGTCTACCCTCCCCACCCCCCTTGTTTGTATATCGGAGCATGCATGTTGCAATGTTGAGAATTAAAACAACGTGTTGGATTCCTTTTCAAAGGTGTTCTTTACTGTTTGTGTTAAACCCGTAAATACACAACAAAAGTGTGGAAAACAAAAGAAACATATTAGCCTATGAGTGATGATTTTGAGCTACAAATGAGAAAACAAGTGAAAATTTCAACTGCATTCCTGTTAGCTGCTCAAGCATGTTGTCTGATCAGACATTGCAAACAATAGGAAATGATTGATCAGAAGCTGAAATCAGCAAACAATCTCAACTCATATTAATAACTGTTTGATTACAAAGCAAAATGGAGTTGTGAACACCGACCTAACATCTTAACAAATGTAACAAAAAAACTTTATTATATAATGATTACATATTGTTTAATTAATAAACATGTTGAATGTTGATGTTTTTATTATCATGTTTTACTCTTTCATTGTTCAGTTATAAGCAATGCCCCTCAAGCCTCTGTCATAGAATATAAAAGACGTACGCTGAAGTGATTCAGCTGAGGAAAGATCTACAGGTAAGAATGAGACTTGACCATCAATGGCTGGTTCCTATTGTGGACATTTCTTTTCACCATGGTGCAAATATCCTCTTCTCAAATATGAGAGGATTGTGTAATGAACAAGTAATGGGATCCTAGATTTTGTGTCATTTGTAGCAATAATGATCCTCCTGAATGCTTGGATAAAGTTACAGTATGTTTCAGTTGGATGTAAGCAAAAAAAATACAAAATGCCAAGGAAAGCAAACACACAAAGAGCAAACAAACAAACAAACAGGATTGGTAACTAGAGAAAATTATCAAACTCAGTACTTGAGGTCTGCCAACATGACAGCCAGAGAAGTTGGTGTACAAAAAGAAGACAAAAATAGAAAATTTAGGGTGGGGTGGGGTGTGAGGAACTTAAGAACCTGGTAAAAACAGTCAGAGCATTTAAGACAAGAACTGAAAACAAACTCAATCAAGAAATCTAGGAGTTAAAACCAGGCTAAGCATTGGAAACTATGAAACTCTTTCACAATTATAGCATACTTCCTCTTGCTAATGTTTTCACCCAATGGATCTCAACAATAATTCTCCTTACTTTCTGCTCTCCATTTTCCATAATGTTGCCTCTGAGTTGTTGTTGTTAAGTCAATACTGATATTATTTTTTATTCTTATCTCCTGCCTTGTTTGGAATTGTATTTATATTTTAAGGAAAAATTAGTTACAGATCATTCAGAAGAATTCGGGAACATATTTATCTTACTCAGGATTACTAATTGCCTCCTGAATTGACAGTTTTGTGAACTTTAAACTGCAGGTGACACAAAGAGGAAAAACAGCAGTGCCTTCAGTTCAAGAGACTGTTAAAAGAATTATTTGTGAGGAGGTAAGATTTCAAATCTTATTTTTAAATTAGATTCTTTCAATAACTAGACTTCTTTCAGATGGATTTGTCTTTTCAAAGCTGTTTTTCATTAGATAGTGGTTAGTAACCTACTTGCAGAGAAGTATTCAGTTGGCAAGAACCAAAAGTGGCATTGATAATGACTTTGAAGTGTTCGTACCTTTGAATTTTGGGAACTTTACTTTCATCGATCAAAAGTTAATTTTGTGGACATGGGCTGGGCCTGAAACAAATGAAAAATTTAACTCTTGATTTTAAAGGAACTTCTTGTATATGCAAACTGAACTTGTCTCCTCTGGTACCATGTATGTTGCCATACAGTCCTCAGGAAAATTTTTTCAAAATTGTTTTTCCTGATGATAAATAGGCTTTCTCCTTATTATATCACACAAGGAATGTGGTGTAGAGGGGGGAGGGTGGGGGGAGAATTTGATGATGATCTGATGCAATAGTACATCATTGTTACAATTGCCTTTCTTTTTTTCTTCTCTTTTAGCCCTATAACATTGGAGTTTATAAGTCTCTAAAAGTCAAATTGGATCTCCTGGACTATTAAAAAGCAGGATGGAAATGCAATAACTGCTGTTAGTAACATTATTACTTACTAATTAAAATCTTTATTATTTGCTTCTTACCTTAATAAAATCCTTCTTTGCTTAATCATTTTCTCTGAAGGTCCTTTAGGGCATAGAAATTTGTTGGCTTTCCTCGTGTGCTGGATGTAATGACAGGTATGTATGTCAATCCACTACCACTCTGAAAACAGTGAAAAAAAATATTTTACAAAACTTTTCCAAAAAAGATCCACGACACGTATGCCACATATACCAAAGTTCCCTTCCCCCCCCTCTATGCTCCCTTCCTTTACCCACAAAATATGGATTTTCCTATTATTCAAAGGTAAGGAACCTGTGGTTAAAGCGGGATTCCTGTGGTGAAGATCACTGTTCCTTTTATTCATTTTTCAGGTGGTCTTGTTCTTTAGGAAATCACCACCCCCACCCCTTCGTTAAAGATTTTATTCCATCTCTTTGTGGCACTGAACAAGACAATTTACAGTACAACAGAAGATGATATAAATGGTCTTTCCAGACAACAAAGTTTTAACTAATCAAGCCTGATCAAGGTCATGGTGTTACTCATCCATCCATCAGGTGGTCAAGGTAACACGTGTAGAGCCAAGATCCTCAGGAACCCGTTGTCGACAAACAAGATTAGAAACAGGCCAGGAAAATGGCCATGTAAACCACTATAGCTAACTCAAGGGGGCGTGGAAAAAATGTCCTCTGGTGACATTAAGGCAGAACAGCATAACGGGACAAAGAGAAGATCAGGTTTACTTTCTATGATATGTTATGACCATGTTTTTATGTCATCAAATTTTCAAGGCTTCCAAATCGTATTCTCTTTCTCAATGATCTTTTACCTTATCAACCAAGGTAAGCAAGATAGAGTTTGCGCACAAGCTAACTCAAAATGGCCCCCATTACCGGTCCACGGTACTGTTTTTGTCGCGTGAAGGCACCAGGACTTTGGTTACCCCCCCTCCCTGGTGGGATGCTAGTTTATCGTAGCTTACCCCCCCTCCGGCTCAGAATTTTCGTAAGGTTTCCTAACAGGTTACACACCTGGCTTGAAAAGAGAAGACAAGAGGAAAATTCGTTTGATGGTAAACTTCGCGGGAAAATTAATGCACCATCCGGGAGTGGTCTTTTGAGCTTTAGTTTCCATTATAAGTCCCTTTGCGCAAATTTGGATCGTTCGGGGATTATAAAGAGAAAAAAATGAGAGAAAATAAATGGATAGAGTCAAATTTCGGAGGAAAACTTTTTTCTCATTTCTTTTTTCGTCTTTTTTATTTTCTGGGAATGGCTCCTTCCCGTAGGGAGTCAATATGCCAGCCTCGACGGTATTAATTAGACTACACTTTGCCAAAGTTTGTTTGTTTGTCGTTGTCGAATCTAACGTGAAATTTCCCTTAAAATATAATGGTGGCAATGTTCTTCATCTCAATCTACTAAGCTTTATTAAAACAAATTAGGCTGCTAAGATTACAAATTTTCCTTTTCTCCTCTAAATATGTCATTTCGACTATTAAAAATTAACTTAATAAGCTAACGTAAAGCGGTCATGCAAAAAATTACGTTTAACTTAATGGAAATGAATTGAAACTCTGATGCCCTTCTTTTGCCGGTGTTCACCTTCTTCAATTGCAAAACCATCTTTAAATTGAAAATACTTCGATTTATGAAAATTATTTCAATATCTTATTGTTCGAACAATCATGCATATCTTTAAAACAACGAAGAGAATCACAGTTATGAACTCTGCCTCGCTCCCAAAATGAGGATTAAGTGTCTGGGTGTCACGGGTTTCGAATCCCGTGGAAGCCAGGCGTTTTTCAGGCTTTATTTCTTTGATTTCTTTACTTGTAGTTTACCTGCAACGATTATTTCTTTGCATGCTAGAAAATATTCAAAAAAAGAGAAAAAAATCAATACTTCAGCCATTCTTGCCCTCAAGTTTTAGTTTGCCTTAGTAATTGTGCAACACTAACAATCTAAAATTCGGGCTAAGAGGTGACCTGTAACCTCTGCTGTTCTCTGGTACTTTGTGCGGGTCGAGATAATTAACAGTTGGCGCGAATCTCAGCTAGATTAAATGGGTCAATTTTTATGTGTAAAAAAAGTAATTGATTAAAAAAAAAAAATTAAGATTTATCATTGATAACACGCCCTGTGTCCTGGCTTAAGCCAAACATATACACCGGAATAATTGGTATTGCAATTGGAAACTTGAATTTGACGGTTAGACTTTCGCATCAAGGAATTAAGAAATTCTTGATTTACTTTTCAGCAATTCTCTGACGAATTTTGACCCGGGTAACCTACCCACGAGACCAACGTGAAGTCGACAGGTTTTTACGTATTTTTTCAGTGTTTTTCTTTAGAGACTTTACTTTACTGGTATTTACTGAACTGCATCAGTGCAATTTCCTTTTATGGCATCTGTTCGTGTTCATCTTGACCCTCAACTTCAGTTATTGATGCTTCTTCTCCTTGGGATCTGAAATCAAAGGAACATTACAGTCATTGAACTAAACAGCGTTTTGATGACGTAAAGTTGTTGGCGTGAAAGGATTTTATAGGTTTTGTTTTCGCGGCTAAAAGGAAAGACGAATAAAACCGGAGCAGAGTAAATCAGATCACTTGCGTAAATTCATCTCCGAGAATGATATTCATCACTCTTTAAAAAGTGAAGTTTACCAACCTTTTATATCAGCTTATTGCAGATAATTGTACGGTAACATACATTCAGTAAAATTCTGTATAAATATTGCTACTTACGATTCTTTACAGATTTGTCCAAAATCGACTGTGACGTCATCACCAATGAGTACAAACGGAGCCCAGAACCGCGGGGCATTGAACTTTTGTGATTCTCGCAGACATTTCATCGCCCGATTGAGTGACACACTGGCGCTGTTTCCATCCTTCAGATGTTGGTAAAAGCTTCTCATAAACTCCATGGTGGCCTCGTCATCAATTGACCAGAGTGCGACCAGAACAGAACGAGCACCAGCACCGAGAAAAGCCCGTGCAATGCCGACCACACCCTCACTTGACACTTTGCCCTGTGCACTGTGAGGACAGCTTAACACAACAAGCTTTGCACGCAACTTAGCTGCTTGTACATCTGAAATGGTTAACATGAAATCTGGTTCTTCCGGTCTTCTGTATTTTCGTTCTGGATTTGGAGCCAATGCAATTTCCCCATTGTCGATTTTTCCGTGCGCAGCAATGTGCACCAAAGCAACCGAACCGATTCTCTTTAGCACCTCAGCCTTGGTTGCTGCTTTTCCGGTGAGTGGCTGGATACCGAGCATCGCTCCGATCATCTCCACTTCCTTTTTGGCGAAAGGCAAGGATGAAAATTTGTCCTCTCCCAGCAAGGTGGTAAATTCTTCTAGATTTGGATCTCCTACGAGTAACGCCCCACTCTTTTGGTGATAATCTTCAGGAGAATCGTTAATCAGTTTCATACACATCAATGACGGAAGAAACCGCAATCTCACGGATTCACTGAGGTACTTTGATTCGGAATCCAAAAATGCAGCAAAAGGGGCGAGGCACAGTGGACCATCAGGAACGACGACCAACTCACCATCTTCGATGAAATTTGAAATAGGACTTATGATGCACTCATGAAAGAGACGTAGAGGATTCTTGTCAGACTGTAATAGGTTTCCTGTTTCTTCACCGGCGGGTGGCAATTCTTGTTCGGTGCTTGTCTCATCTAATGTGCGGTTTTCACAGACTACACGGAATTGTCCTCGTACTTCTTCATAAGCCTTCTTCCTTAAACTCTTTAAATAGTCGGTCGCACCTCCCAAGCGATATTTTACTTCCTTCTGTGTAAACTGTACATTTCCGTCTTTCCCGATTACCCACAGGTTAACTGCGTTTTCTTGTAGTGCAACAAAAAGCGTCGGACCAGAGATATTAGTGACCATTTCGAAGATCCCTGGTTGAACCTCAGCTGATCCAGAAACTGGCAGTTGGGAGCCATATCGTAGTTTGATGAGATCTAACAAGGCTTGGGCTCGTCCTTGGTCCGCAACACACAACGCCTCGTCGAATTTTGACAGCTTAAGCAAAGTTCTCCAGAGAGCATTATAACTGCATTGATGTGCATTGCGGAAGGTTACTTTCAACTCATCTTTAGCTTGAAGAACTCTTAACTGATTGAAAAATCTAACACTGCGTTGATAATAATCAACCGCTTGGTGCAAGTCACCAGAGCTTTCAAAAATAAGACCCATTTTTTGGAATGAAAATCCTTCGCTCATTTCCTCCCCTGTTTTCTGGCGGAGGTTACGAGCTTTCTTGTGATACTCCATGGCTCGTTCAAAGTCGCACTTTTGGAAAAAGAAATCGCTGAAGGCCCACAAGGCCTTTGACTCGATGGACCGGTCTCTCAGTTCTTTGGCAATGGTAAGTGCTTTCTCAAGGTACTCTTTTGCCAACTTAAAATCAGCGCGTCGAGCATAAACCATTCCAAGAACGGAATAGGCGGAAGCCTCTCGTCCCTTATCCCCACTGTCCTTAGCGAGATCAATCATTTCCTGAGAAAATTCCGTAGCTCGAAACAATTTACCCAGGCTGAAATAACTTGAACCAAGGCATTCTAAGGAGGTTAACCTGTCTGCTTGATCTTGGGCAATGTTTCTACATAACGTGGCGTACTCGATGGCTTGATTGAGATCACCCAGCTTGTAATAATCCATACCAAGATTTTTGTAGGCCCTTCCCACGCGTGTTCTGTCTCCCAGTTCTTTAGCGATATTAAGATACTGCCTGTGGTGCTCTATTGCTTGATTGAAATCATGCAGCTCAAGGTAAGCCAAGCCGAAATCTTCGTGGGCTTGTCCCTCGCCTGCCCTGTCTGCCAGTTCTTTAGTAATACTAAGATTTTTCCTGGCGTACTCTATGGCTTGATTGAAATCGCCAAGCTTGTGATGAGCCGAGCCAAGGTCGTGGTAGGCACGTCCCTCGCCTGCCCTGTCTCCCAGGTCTTTAACAATACTAAGATATTGTTTGTAATACTCTATGGCTTGATTGAAATCATCCAGCTCGTGATAAGCCGAGCCAAGATCGTGGTAAGCACGTCCCTCGTCTGCCCTGTCTCCCAGGTCTTCGGCAATGGTAAGATGTTGTTTGTGGTACTCTATGGCTTGCTTGAAATCGCCCAGCACGCGATAAGCCAAGCCAAGATTGTGGTAGGCCCTTCTCTCGCCTGCCCGGTCTCCCAGTACTTTGGCAATAGTAAGATGGTGTTTGAGATACTCCGTGGCTTGATTGATATCACCCAGCTGGTAATAAGCCATGCCAAGATCGTAATAGGCACGTCCCTCGCCAGCCCTGTCTCCCAGTTCTTCGGCAATAGTAAGATTTTGTTTGTGGTACTCTGTGGCTTGGTTGATATCACCCAGCTGGTAATAAGCCATGCCAAGATCGTGGTAGGCATGTCCCTCGCCAGCCCTGTCTCCCAGTTCTTCAGCAATAGAGAGATGTTTTTTGTGATACTCTATGGCTTGATTGAAATCCCCAAGCTTGTGATAAGCCGAGCCAAGATCGTGGTAGGCATGTCCCTCGCCTGCCCTGTCTCCCAGTTCTTTAACAATACCAAGATGTTGTTTGTGGTACTCTATGGCTTGATTGAAATCATCCAGCTGGTAATAAGCCGAGCCAAGATTGTGGTACGCATTTCTTTCGTCTGCCCTGTCTCCCAGTTCTTCGGCAATAGTAAGTTGTTGTTTGTGGTACTCTATGGCTTTAATGAAATCATCCAGTTTAAGATAAGCCGAGCCAAGATGGTGGTAGGCCCGTCCCTCGTCTGCCCTGTCTCCCAGTTCTTCGGCAATAGTAAGATGTTGTTTGTGACACTCTATGGCTTGATTGAAATCACCCAGCTGGTAATAAGCCAAGCCAAGGTCGTGGTAGGCATGTCCCTCGCCAGCCCTGTCTCTCAGTTCTTCGGCAATAGTAAGATGTTGTTTGTGGTACTCTGTGGCTCGACTTATATCACCCAGCTGGTAAGAAGCCATGCCGAGATCGTGGTAGGCATGTCCCTCGCCAGCCCTGTCTCTCAGTTCTACGGCAATAGTAAGATGTTGTTTGTGGTACTCTATGGCTTGATTGAAATCACCAAGCTTGTGATAAGCCGAGCCAAGATCGTGGTAGGCATGTCCCTCGCCTGTCCTGTCTCCCAGTTCTTTGGCAATACTAAGGTGTTGTTTGTAATACTCTATGGCTTGAGCGAAATCATCCAGCTGGTAATAAGCCGAGCCAAGATTGTGGTAGGCATGTCCCTCGCCTGTCCTGTCTCCCAATTCTTCGGCAATAGTAAGATGTTTTTTGTGATACTTTATGGCTTGATTGAAATCACCAATCTTGTGATAAGCTGAGCCAAGATTGTGGTAGGCATTTCTTTCGTCTGCCCTGTCTCCTAGTTCTTCGGCAATACTAAGTTGTTGTTTGTGGTACTCTATGGCTTGATTGAAATCACTCAGCACGTGATAAGCCAAGCCAAGATTGTGATAGGCATGTGCCTTGCCAGCCCTGTCTCCCAGTTCTTCGGCAATAGTAAGATGTTGTTTCTGATACTTTATGGCTTGATTGAAATCCCCAAGCTTATGATAAGCCGAACCAAGATGGTGGTAGGCATGTCCCTCGCCAGCCCTGTCTCCCAGTTCTTCGGCAATAGTAAGATGTTGTTTATGATACTTTATGGCTTGACTGAAATCACCAAGGTTGTGATAAGCCGAGCCAAGATTGTGGTAGGCGTTTCTTTCGTCTGCCCTGTCTCCCAGTTCTTCGGCAATAGTAAGATGTTGTTTGTGATACTGTATGGCTTGATTGAAATCACCAAGGTTGTGATAAGCCGAGCCAAGATTGTTGTAGGCATTTCTTTCGTTTGCCCTGTCTCCCAGTTCTTCGGCAATAGTAAGTTGTTGTTTGTGGTATTGTATGGCTTGATTTAGATCACCCAGCTTATGATAAGCCGAGCCAAGATTGTGGTAGGCCCGTCCCTTGTCTGCCCTGTCTCCCAGTTCTTCGGCAATAGTAAGATGTTGTTTGTGACTCTCTATGGCTTGATTGAAATCACCCAGCTGGTAATAAGCCAAGCCAAGATCGTGGTAGGCATGTCCCTCGCCAGCCTTGTCTCTCAGTTCTTCGGCAATAGTAAGATGTTGTTTATGATACTTTATGGCTTGACTGAAATCACCAAGGTTCTGATAAGCCAAGCCAAGATTGTGATAGGCGTTTCTTTGGTTTCCCCTGTCTCCCAGTTCTTCGGCAATAGTAAGATGTTGTTTGTAGTACTGTATGGCTTGATTGAAATCACCAAGGTTGTGATAAGCCGAGCCAAGATTGTTGTAGGAATTCCTTACGTCTACCCTGTCTCCCAGTTCTTCGGCAATACTAAGTTGTTGTTTGTGGTACTCTATGGCTTGATTGAGATCACCCAGTACGTGATACGCCAAGCCAAGATTGTGGTAGGCATGTCCCTCGCCAGCCCTGTCTCCCAGTTCTTTAGCAATAGTAAGATGTTGTTTGTGATACTTTATGGCTTGATTGTAATCACCAAGGTTGTGATAAGCCGAGCCAAGATTGTTGTAGGCATTTCTTTCGTCTGCCCTGTCTCCCAGTTCTTCGGCAATAGTAAGTTGTTGTTTGTGGTATTGTATGGCTTGATTGAGATCACCCAGCTGGTAATAAGCCGAGCCAAGATTGTGGTAGGCCCGTCCCTTGTCTGCCTTGTCACCCAGTTCTTCGGCAATAGTAAGATGTTGTTTGTGACTCTCTATGGCTTGATTGAAATCACCCAGCTGGTAATAAGCCAAGCCAAGATCGTGGTAGGCATGTCCCTCGCTAGCCCTGTCTCTCAGTTCTTCGGCAATAGTAAGATGTTGTTTATGATACTTTATGGCTTGACTGAAATCACCAAGGTTCTGATAAGCCGAGCCAAGATTGTGATAGGCGTTTCTTTCGTTTCCCCTGTCTCCCAGTTCTTCGGCAATAGTAAGATGTTGTTTGTGGTACTGTATGGCTTGATTGAAATCACCAAGGTTGTGATAAGCCGAGCCAAGATTGTTGTAGGCATTTCTTTCGTTTACCCTGTCTCCCAGTTCTTCGGAAATACTAAGTTGTTGTTTGTGGTACTCTATGGCTTGATTTAGATCACCCAGTACGTGATACGCCAAGCCAAGGTTGTGGTAGGCATGTCCCTCGCCAGCCCTGTCTCCCAGTTCTTTGGCAATAGTAAGATGTTGTTTGTGATACTTAATGGCTTGATTGAAATCACCAAGCTTGTGATAAGCCGAGCCAAGATCGTGGTACGCATGTCCCTCGCCTGCCCTGCCTCCCAGTTCTTTGGCAATACCAAGATGTTGTTTGTGGTACTCTATAGCTTGATTGAAATCACCCAGCTGGTAATAAGCCGAGCCAAGATTGTGGTAGGCATTTCTTTCGTCCGCCCTGTCTCCCAGGTCTTCGGTAATAGTAAGATGTTGTTTGTGATACTTTTTGGCTTGACTGAAATCACCAAGGTTGTGATAGCCTGAGCCAGGATTGTGGTAGGCGTTTCTTTCGTCTGCCCTGTCTCCCAGTTCCTCGGCAATAGTAAGTTGTTGTTTGTGGTACTCTATGGCTTGATTGAAATCACCCAGTTGGTAATAAGCCAAGCCAAGATCATGGCAGGCATGTTCCTCGCCAGCCCTGTCTCCCAGTTCTTCGGCAATAGTAAGATATTGTTTGTGATACTCTATGGCTTGATTGAAATCACCAAGCTTGTGATAAGCCGAGCCAAGATCGTGGTAGGCATGTCCCTCGCCTGCCCTGTCTCCCAGTTCTTTAACAGTACTGAGATGTTGTTTGTGGTACTCTATGGCTTGAGTGAAATCATTCAGCTGGTAATAAGCTGAGCCAAGATTGTGGTAGGCATTTCTTTCGTCTGCCCTGTCTCCCAGTTCTTTGGCAATAATAAGATGTTGTTGGTGGTACTGTATGGCTTGATTGAAATCACCCAGCACGCGATAAGCCAAGCCAAGATTGTGGTAGGCCCTTCTCTCGCCTGCCCTGTCTCCCAGTTCTTCGGCAATAGTCAGATGTTGTTTGTGGTACTCTGTGGCTTGATTGATATTACCCAGCTGGTAAGAAGCCATGCCGAGATCGTGGTAGGCATGTCCCTCACCAGCCCTGTCTCTCAGTTCTTCGGCAATAGTAAGATGTTGTTTGTGGTACTCTATGGCTTGATTGAAATCACCAAGGTTTTGATAAGCCGAGCCAAGATCGTGGTAGGCATGTCCCTCTCCTGCCCTGTCTCCCAGTTCTTTAACAATACTAAGATGTTTTTTGTGGTAATCTATGGCTTGAGTGAAATCATTCAGCTGGTAATAAGCCGAGCCAAGATTGTGGTAGGCGTTTCTTTCGTCTGCCCTGTCTCCCAGTTCTTCGGCAATAGTAAGTTGTTGTTTGTGGTACTCTATGGCTTGATTGAAGTCACCCAGCACGCGATAAGCCAAGCCAAGATTGTGGTAGGCCCTTCTCTCGCCTGCCCTGTCTTCCAGTACTTTGGCAATAGTAAGATGTTGTTTGTGGTACTCTGTGGCTTGATTGATATCACCCAGCTGGTAATAAGCCATGCCAAGATCGTGGTAGGCATGTCCCTCGCCAGCCCTGTCTCCCAGTTCTCTTGCATTGTGGAGGTCTTGCTTTATTATATCGATTACTGTCTTCGTCTTAGGTTTGAAAAAAAGGGAAAGATAACCGCATAAAAATTGCGTAACTATTTCGGTTCTAATGTGTGTTTTTCAAATTTAAAAATGAAAGCTGCAACTGTACCTTGGTTTACCAAAGGCCAAAGGCTTTTTAAGTGGAAATAAGTGTGTTTTCTTAAGATGCACTCTCTTCACAGTTAGTGAAAATCGAGTTTTATCAGTCGTTTCCAAAATCATAATTTAGTCCAAAACTCCAAAGTACCTTATTTTTTTAAAAAATCAAAAAAAAAAAAAAAACGAAAAAAAATTCGGGGCTATTTGCTTGTTCCGACCTTTTAACGCTCATTTTTGTGGTCTCGATAATCAAACGTCGAACAAACTGCCTGTTGTTTACTTCATAGTTTACAATTTCCTTGTTTAGATATACTATTCAATGGCGTTGTCGGAATCCCCATGTTCTTGGATGGTCAACTACGATGTATGTTATAAGAATGACATACTTTTTCCTGGCGCCTATTTCAACGGCACATTAAGGTATCACTATACACTGAATGACCATCGTTCGTTTGCAACACTGGAATTAACTTAGTTCATGAGTAAAGAAGCATAAAAATATTTAGCAAAAATCCTCCAGCTAAAGGAAGTGTTTATCGACTATGTTGCTTTTATAACATATCAAACCGAATTTTCAACTGTTATGTTCTCGTGAAGCCCGAAATCTTTATTTATCTCGAAATGTGGTGTCAATGGTACATTATCAATAAAAAAATTTTAGTTGTAAAGGTAAAAGTCGACCGAAAGAACTTTACAATTTCTCGAGGTGTTTTCGGTCTCTCTTCGTTGGAATTTTAGGAAAACTTCCGAAAAGTCACGGAGGGATCCAGAATAACAGATGCCATGTAACATTACTGAATAGTTTTTTAAATAATCGTGTGTCATTTCAGAGGATGCTAGAATTTTTTATGACTTCTTATGAGAACTAAGATGAAAAAGGCAAAGCCATTTACTAGACCATACACTTACATTTCCGGATTTGGAACATTCCCAGAATGACCTGTTTCTCAGTCGCCGCAGGGTATCGTTTCTTTGAATCTACATACAGTTAAGGCGCAAATAACACCGGCAAATGAGAATGTTGCTTTAGGACTGCATTTATACGCATCCGAAATTTCTTAATTGTAGTCTTTTCAACAGTTGGCGGGAATACTAGTGGTCAAGAAATTAGGCTCTGTGTTTGTGGCTTTCAGTTTCTAGATTTATTGTTTTGTATGTGATCGATGACATTCACTCCGTTATATTGGAGAGCGTTTTTCATTTGAACACTCTGAAGAGGCAAGATGTTTTCAAAATTCCGAAAAGGTTACATTTGGTGTGCGTGCCCTAAGTCTTAATACTAAATATTTCAACTTTGGCTCTTGGCATACTAAGAGAAACCACACTCTCTCTTTAGGTCTGACAAAAAGATACAGCTAATCCTTGAACACACCATCTGAGCGCTTCTTCAGGCTTATTCAGCGCAAGACAGGCACTTGCTCCTATTTAAAATAACACAGAGAATCCTGTTAGACCAGATTCATACGAAAAAGTGTTCTCTAAAATACAGTTTCCCTTCGCTTAGGTGAAAAAGAGATTTTAGATTTTTTTGGCTTGTCCGCTTTTGAAACAGGACATCTTGCGAGGGAAACTTTGAAAAGAGCTGTGCGTCATATGGAAATATGATTCTCAAATTTGTCCGTAAGAGATAGAAATTTTCCCCGCGCTCTTTACTTCGAAAGATGAGTATCGGCGACTTTTAATTTACAGTTTCACGTCAATTTCTCGTTCTGAAATGGAAAATTTAAGCCAAAAGGAAAAAGTATGTCGGAGCAACAGCGCCTTTACTTCGAAAGATAAGTATCGGCGACTTTTAATTTACAGTTTCACGTCAATTTCTCGTTCTGAAATGGAAAATTTAAGCCAAAAGGAAAAAGTATGTCGGAGCAACAGCGCCTCATTCCATTTACACTAGTCAAGTGATGTCCAACTAATTAAAGCACCGTATGGCGTAGGGTAGTTTTTTACTTTTCCAAGAGAAAAAAAAATTACCTGTAACAATTGCCTTCAGATATGTTGGTTGTAGATGATGGGCGGTTGTTGCATCTCCCAGTGAATCCTGGTAATTGCCTTTTAAAGAGAAATGTATAATTTTTTTAGTCAACCGTAGTTACCAAAACCAAGCATAAAGAAGGAAACAAGGGCGTAGTTCGTTAATCGAGTTACATGGCTGACTCTCTGAGTGACAGAAAAGACCGAAATACAATTAAATTTTAAAATATATGGGTCAACTAAGCACTACTTTATAAAATAAGAAATATAATATAGTATTTCGGAATGCAGAACTCACACTTTCCTTTCAGAATACACAAACATGTAGCTATACATTTTTAAAATTATGTTTCCAAAAATCAACTAATCAGTTTCTCCGAGTGTAAATTATGTTGCTTTGAGTATTATGAAGTCGATTTGAGTATCTGAGTTCAGCGATGGAAAGCGAAGAAACAGTAGAGAAGTTCGGCCGAGAAATGATTATAGACGATGGAGGAAACAAAGGAAATTTTCTGAAGTTCTGTGGGAGTAATACAAGACATAGATGCCGTGGAGATCTTCTAGACACAGACGTGTGTTCATGACTACCTCAAGAACTCTGTGAGGCCGTTTTCCAAGTGAAATGAAAAGAATGTGAAAATACGTAGAATAGCTAAATTCTTACCTAATTTGAAATATACTGTTGCCCTGTCGTTATACAGTTTGGCCTTCAATTCTTTGTTTTCGCATTTCTCTTTAATTTCTTCCGTGTAAAAGTGGATGGCGTTTAAAAGATCTTCTTTTGTGTGAACGTCGTTACTTTCATTCTTGTTAACTTCAACTATTGCTGAAACAAAAGAATTTAAGCAACATTCATTAAACTGAAAATTTTTATCGATCGTGATCAAGGTATCAAAAAAATAATATAAAAAGAGTATAAAATAATTTGATCTCAAAAATTTATCAAGCTTTCCTTCAGAGTGGCTCTGTTACATGAACTGTGACAGCTCTTCCCAAGAAAATATTGGGAAATGACAAATCTCGTCCCTTCAGAATTTAATCCATTACGAATTGCCATCGCACAAATAAATGTTATCCGAAAGAACTTTAAAAAAAAGACAGAATCGCTAAAGAAAAGAATTCAAGCAGCGTGTTGATAGTTTCAGGACAGACAGGAAACATGATTACGAAGCCTCCTTTTCAAGAGAAAGCCGCATTACGCTCACCTGTCAAAGCGTCTTCATCAAAATCAAGAGTTAATTCTTTTCCTTCTTCTTCATCTTCTCCAGAAGGTGGTGTGACGTCTCCTAGAGCTTTTCTTGGACCTTCCGCCATGAGTGCTGGGAGTTTACCTCTCAGCGAACTACAGCTCCTTCTCAGTTCCTGTATGTAGTACCTGTGTGTGGTACCTGGCCCTTGAATATAATAATTTATTAATAACCTAAGTAAGGCCGTACTATCTTTACAGCTCTCAATGGTTATTATGGGCAGCCTGAACTCTCTCCATTTTCCGTATCATATATATATATACATATATATATATGTACTGTATCATGTAATTAATGTAGGGTACGAATAAATGAAGTTGTTGTTGTCGTTGTCTCGTTATTTTAGTTACCAGCGTTACGCGAGCGTGACCGAAGGTCACGCTATTAGGGGACAGTGTTATTGTATTTTAATTGAGTCCTCCAAGGGCGTAAAGAACCCTTGTGGTATCTGCTACATGTACAACAAAGATGTGCACAATATCAATCAGATCACGGGAAAATTTGAATTTACTTTTTCGTCCTAAAATTCTTCTTTTTTTTCTTCCAGGAAAAAAAGTAGGTTTGCGTTTCTGACCACAGGATGACACGAGTGTGTAGAGGGGGACACCACGAAAAGTCCGCAAGAAACTTTATAATGATCTATTTTGTGAATGATTATTCTCGAACAAAATTGTTCTCGTCGAAAATATATCCCGCTTGGGTTCGTCACGGAACACGCTTTCTCTTAGTTGCGTGACGAGCTCAATCATAGCTGTGATGGAGACGTGTAACAAACCACGTGCTATCTGAGTTTTCACCAAAATTATTTATACACTGAGTAAGATTCGTCTGATTCGGTAATTAACCGCGCTTTCACCGAGTTTTATGGTTTGTTGATTCAACAGCGCTTTACGAAATATGGGAATATCCGATAGTCTGTCGCAGGTAGATTAAAAACCACTAGCACACAATAATTTTTATAAGTTAAAGGCTTCTGTAGTGCTCATATTCCCAACCTTTTTTTTAATTAGTTTTAAATGATAATATAGGCTTATCGTCGCCTCATCGATGTCTTTGAAAGCTTCAGTTTCGAACTTTTTGCCACGTCAGTCTCGATACAAAACACTCAATTTGAATGACAAAGTTTTTTTGAGATTTCTAGTTTGTGATTTAACAACAAATAAAAGCATTCTTTGGGCTTAGAATTAACTCCAAATACTCAACGCCTCGTGTAGTATTTGAATGTTTCACTTCTGTCATCCAATATGCATTGATTCCTTTATTTATTTTTTTTACCAACCACTGAAGTCAATGTCTAACCATGTAGAAGATAATTAGAGAATGAGTGAGTGAACTTTCATGATTAACAAGGATACGACATTGATTCAATTAAAGTCGTCTTTATTCTAGAAGACGTGTTTTTATCAAAAGTTGAAATTTTTTCCTTGGACGCATACTTCAAATTCGTACCTGACAAAGTCGGGGAATCGGCTCCGGCTACTTCCTGCCTCAAAAGTTCTTGCGATGATCAATCAGTCAGCTGTGACATGAGCAAGGTAAACAATTTATCAAACTAAGTGTGTAACGATATTAAAATTTTAGATATCAGTCTTCGATTGCTTTTCATCTCATTCTGAGAAACGAAATGTTCCCTTTTAAGATGTAATGTTTGTTGGAAACAGCACACGCCGTCAAACTTAATACTCGAATGATAATTATTAAAACTGATATTTGCTATCATTGTAGAACTGCTTATGAGACTTGAAAAAATTCCAGCTTCGACTGGGCTTGATCGAACACGTGCCTGTTAGATAGTGATTACGATAGGTGCTATTTCCAAGCTAGTTTCTGTACAGGTTTTCAATTTGTTTTACTCACAATCTACTTCATTGCAGCGATCAATTCTACAATCATCATCCATGACGTAATATGATTTTATTCTTAAAATTTTTTTGAGACTAGAATTGAAAATTCTTTCAAAAATGGCATCTCCAACCGACATCTTTCTTACATGGATGGTCGTTTCCATCAACAACGATTTATTATCCGTACTTACTTTCAGAAGACGCTTGTTCGAAAAAGATGATGCTTTCAAATTATTGAGTTCTGCGATAGAATAACCTGAAAACAGAGAAATTCGAGAACAAAAAATCATTAGTGTGGGAACGATCACATCTTCGTTATGTTGTCAGGTTGCTCAAAACGAAGCCAACACCGATTTCATTTACACATTCTATTATTTGGAAAAATGATTATTTTGTCAAAAACTGTTAACAACGAGAGAAAAATTTAAAAAAGCCTTGTCAGCTAACCTTAAGCCAAAAAAGGCAAACCCCAAAGTCAAGATCAGTCACTGTATGTATACCAAGTTTGTTTTCAAATGATTGTCATGAGGCCAAAAAATTTATTTAAATATCAGAGGTGTTATTTGAAAATTTTGACGGGAGACAAGTTTCACTTTCCAACGCAATTTCGAGTCGAAAATGAAAGCTAACATCAGAAATGCTTGAAAAACGTGAAACTGTTCATCTCTGCAGGGTGTTTGAACAACTATGTATTTTAATCAACCTTCTTCTAAACTTTTTTCGAAATTTTTTTTAAACCTCTTTATTTTTTTCATCACCAACAATGATTTATCAGGTATTGACTCCACACATGTCCAGTACACCCGACTTGAGTCGGGTTGTCTTCACTAGCGGGCGGATTGAGTCCGATTGCGACCGGAACCGGAAATGGGCGCAAGGCGCTTGATTAGTAGTACCGGAAGTAAGAGGTTAACAGGAGCGAGAAGGGTTGAAGACGTTGGCAAACAGACTCGATCGGAACCGGTGGAGACAGCTTGTCCTGGCAAGAGTCGATCGGACTCCTCGCTGAATGCAACTTACATGTCCAAAGTTATAACACTAAGATATGGGCTTCAAATTTGAGGAGAAAAATCGTTTAGTCTCCTGACCGTAATGAGAGCCACGGGATATTCAACACAGTCGAAGACTATAGGATGGGTTGTTCATGTGCTCCGTGATAGTTCTCGCGCACTTGCTTTGCTCTCAATTTCAACCAACACTCAAGATCTCATACCCAATTCTCCACTCTATATTCAATACAATTCTCATAATTGTAGCTCTGAGAATTTTAAGTTCAATCAAACAAAATTTCTAAGGTGATATTTTTCCTTCTTCTCAAAACCTTTCTGGTTGAGAGCGCATTGATATTGTACGGAGACATTGCTAATTTATCATTCCCGGGACTAAAAGAGTTGTAAAAGGTTGAAATTAGACAAAAACTGAAAAAGGAGTGCCAAATGGGGAGAGAGAGAGAGAGAGGATGATCCACAGGACACCTACTCCTCAAAATATTCATAGTTTACCCAGCAAGAAGATTCACGCAGGGAGCATTTTAACACTGATTTTATTTTCTACAAAAACATGCAAGTAAGAGACAATTGCCAATAAGAAAGGATACACATACAGGTTATTTATTTTACACGAAGGAAGGTAAAAGTAGTTCAAAGAATATCTAGAAATATAGGGTAATTCCATCTGAAGTTCAGTCTCTTAACAGAAAAATGCATATCTCTACCTTTCATAATATACAACACTTGCATGTATTCTCATTTTTTCATGTTTAGAATGACAAATCATTTTCAACTTCAAAAACAAAAAAGCTTTATATCGACAAGGTAAGAAAGAAACTTTTGGTTTAGTTGTTACACAACACTATGTTGCCTTGGAGGGAATGATTGCACAAATGTAAGATGAAGTATTCAGTGATATGCCCAACAAAGGCTATTGAAACTAAGCAACATTCCACAATATCTTTGAGGGAAGCATAAATATTTCCAGTTTCAATGGACTGCTGCCTTTTTCTCAGGCTGACCACATAGTCGATAGACAAAAAAAAGAATGAAGTAACACTGATAATGATACAGTCTGATACAGAGTTTGCTCATGTGCCATTTGACATGTCTTCCATCTCTTCATCAACATTATTATTCGGTTTGTTTCCTCCAGGCACCTGACCAGCTTTTAATAACATCTCAAGTCTTTGCACTTCATCCAGAGAGCGTGCGTTTGCAATGGCAGCCTGAGGGAATGAAACCATAGCTATAAATTAGTTACACAAATGACAACTGTGTTTGCCAGCAAAATGTTCAACCACTTAGAAAAGGAATCGTCTCCCATGTAAAACATATTAAATTATTACTTGTAAAAAGGGGTATTACTAAAACACTTGGTACAGACTTAAATTTACTTACCTTGATTGCAGCAATGTCTTTAGTGGGGGATGGAAGAGGTTTGCTTGGTAAAGGCCTTGTTCCAACAGGTGGTCCCCCAGGAACAAACCTAAATCAAAAAATTAAAAAAAAAAATCACTCATAGTTCAAATCTTATTGAATTGTTATACAATGTCTTATCATTTTGTCTCTTGACTGAGAATTGATTTGTACCTCTCCTTCACAATACCTTTCCCCATTATTACTTCAAAGAATTTTGTGTAATATGTATGTTGTGGTTCAATTTTATCCTTAGTTGAAATTTTATTTTCCTTTGTTTCAAACTCACTATCATACATTACGATACCCCACAACAAAAGAAAATATAATTTGAACCAAGGATAAAATTGAACCACAACATGTACAATGGATTAGTTTGTCAATTTTTATCACATGCTGGGTAGACAACGATTTGAAATTTTGAGGAGTAACAGTTTTTCAAATCACTTCTGCACACTCATATAAAGAGCTAACAAACAAGGAAATGGAATAAACTTACGTCTTAGCCTTTCTTCCCTTTTGACTTCCTTCTTGTCCTCGTTTACCGCTGAACATTCGCTTGGCAGCTTCCCTTTCCTAAAAACAATAGCACAAAACATCTATGTTACTCAGCTCTTCAACCCTTTAACTCCCAAGATCTAATTATTAATTCTCCCCTTCTGGCTGCTACACATCTTGTAAATTTGTTGCAAGAATTTGGTGTTAGATCAAGATAACAATTTCTATCTGATAAGTTTGAGAATTCTCATTACCTTTTTGCTAGATAATGTATGGGTATTATAGGGAGAAGTTATATGTAAATCAACCCCAGGAGTTAAAGGGTCGAGCAAAACAATTTTTATTCTTACAGCAGCAATAACTAATACTGGCCAATGGTAAAACCTTTATCATCTCTAGCAACAAAGAAAGAAATTATATTGGATTAACCCCTCACACCCTAACATCAGCATGCATATTCTCCTTACTGTTTTCCATACAATTCCAAAGGTGCTGACAAGGAGAATTTGTTTAACAATCAATACTTTCTTTAGTTGGTGATCATTTCATTTGTTAGTGTCACCTTAATAGGTGATTTAAGGGTCATAATGTAAGGAGAAATTAGTTGCTAGTCATTAGGTCAAAAAGATGCTAAATCAAACAATCTTTTTTTATTACCCGTTGTTTTATTCTCTGAAAGTCCAACACTCTTAGCTGCGGCAATTTGTTGATGACATATAATCTGTAGTGAGGTTTGTTAGTTACTGGGTTTCGAAGCAAACTGAAAAAGAAGATACCAAGAGATTTTTAACATTCAGTTACAAGTTCTGAGATAAAGTACACAGAATTAATGCCTGCATCTCATCTCTTAGCAAGGAGAAAAAAAGAGTTTAAAAAACCAGTGCCTGAAAAGTATTCAACAGAGTGACAAAAGAAATTATGGTGAGCAGTGTTTTCCTTTTCAGACAATAACTGGTAAATGCATGTAGTACCCTCTTATTGCCGCTAAGAATTGTTTGGAATTCTTGAGATTTCAACAGGTACAACAATTTTTCTACTGGTTTCATCATTTCCTTAATTTGTTGTGCTTAAAATCAGGGAGAACAGGGGGAAATGTTCTAAAGAAAGGGTTAGATAAATATGCAACATGTACCTGAGGTACTGGAGACTTTTAACAGACTTCAATGGATCCAGGTCTTTCTACAGATCAAAATGAATGAAGAGAATGAAATTACACAAGTAAACAAGAATTGTGACAATTCAGACAATAACCATGCAACCAAAATATTGTCAAGGAAAAATAAATAAAATAGGAAAAAATACAAATTAAATAAAAATAAAAGATGAATTAAAACTGAAAACAAAGACTAAGTAAGACATACCAATTCTTGCATGTTATTTGATGTCATAACAATAGTTTCTAAGTTTGGTAGACTCTCCTCTAAATGTTCTGCAATACGACTGAAAGCAAATTGAATAGTGTTAGAAGAGAGAGATATATGGAATAAAAAAAATGAGGCAATGATGATGATAATATTTACTGTGAAATTTATTATTAATGATAGTATTAGTCAAAGACGATACAGGACAATAATGACAAAAAAATCATGATTTGCTTCATACATGCGAGAACAAAAAGTTTCAGATAAATTTTTGGGATCAATATCAGTATCTGGGCAACTGCCCACCTACCCCTCCCCTAACTCAACAACAGTCAATTGATGACAACTTAAGGTTAATGTTGGGCTAGGGGAGGGGTAGGTGGGCAGTTGCCCAGATATCTATATTGATCCAATTTTTGTACTTTGTTAACTTATATAACAATGGTACACTGACACAAAGGGGTCAAGCTTTCAAATATATTTATGTCTTGTTGAAGCTATTTTTTCAGTAATTCTTGGTAACAATAAAATATTGCAGTATTTTACATTTCACAGCTTTAAAAACTTGTCTAAATGATGAACCAAAAAAGTTACAATTTCTGTCTGACTATGACCCTGGTATAAAACTTGAGGAAGAATAACAATATAATTAAAAAGCCTCGAAAAAGGAGAAAAAACCAAAATGTATCAAAATTCATTTAGAGGGTAACAGGCTAGAAACAAATAGTTATTAATTCTTTTCACACAGGTAATAGAATTTTTGAAGAATGAGTCTTTTGCTCTAAATTACACCTTCTTTGTATCTTCTTTGAGCATCAAAATGCTACTAAACTAATTAGATACATGTACACAGTAGTTAAGGATGTCTGAGAATCTGGGTGACGCCTTCCAAACTCCAAAGACAATTTACAGTACAGTATCAGCTTACCTCTCTCCATAGATTGTCCACTGCACTTACCAATTTTCAATGGGATATATATATTTAAAAGTGTTAGATACTGCATAAAACACCACTGCACAACATTTTTGTCATGCAAATTACCATATTTTATGCTAGGGGTTGGCTATTAAAACAAAGTTTTGCCTTTGTTTAACAAAAGTGCTTCCTAAACAATCCTCAATTTTGCTGAATCTTTTGTCTGAACATTTATTTTTGTGAACAGTGTCAAGAGAGCTGAAAGCTAACACTGGATGGACTTCCCTTTGGTTAAATCGACTCACTTAAAGAGAAAGCCTGCGACCCACTAATTACTTAAAACCATGATTTGGATTGGACTCATGCAAATAACCAGCCCTAACAGTTTAATATCACATGGATTTACTGACACACAAATTTCTATACAGCACTTACAAACTACATAAACAAATGACCACATAAACAAACAAATGACTCCATGAAGAAATCATACACAATTAAAAATTGTCAATTTTAAAGGTGGCTACCTGTAATTTAAAAGTGACAATACTTTTAAGTCTGGTACAAATACAAGATGCTATCATCTAGAATATGTTTAAAAGTTGAGAAAGATACTGTAAAAAATCAGGAAGAACAGTTTATAAAAATGTTTTAACCTAGACAAGTTTAACAAATACTAGGAAATCAAATTCTTGCCTATAAATTATCATAGCAGAAACACAAAAACAGTGACAAATAAAGCGATGGCAGACATATTGAACAATGTAAGTTGATCAAAAGACCCAAAATTGTTTTCAATGGATTCTTAATTTCTGGAAGAAAATGCTAGTCATACAGCATATGCACACACGTGTCTGTCTGTGCAAAAGAAATGTCTAGGATGAATCATTGAAACATACCATATTCTGTTGTTGTTTAAAAGAAGGCTTTTCAATCTCTTGAGTAATGCAAATCCCTCCAGTTTGCGGATGTCATTCTCTGACATATCAATGGTATCAAACTGGTCCTAAAATCAATCAAACAACAGTTACCCCATTACCTTCAGGAGCTGATAACAAATAACTTCTCTCTATAATATCCAAACATTATATAGCAAACACGTAATGAGAATATTCAAACTTATCAAGTAGAATTTGTTATCTTGGTTTAACTCAAAATTCTTTTGACTAATTTACAAGGAAATGTGCAAAAGCTAGATGGGAGAATTGACAGTCAGATCTTGGAGTTAAAGGTTTAAGACATTATTGCAGTCATCAGGAATACAAGCTTGGCATGTAGGATCATAACCCTTCACACCCTAAGATCAGTGTAGATATTCTCCATATCCTTCTCTATACATTTTGTTTGGTACAGACAAGGAGAATTCATTTAAGAATCAATGCTTCTTAGGTTAGCAATCATTTACTTCATTCTCATGATCTTTATGAATGATCTGGGCTAAACTTCAGAATACCCCGCAACTTTGGTCCGCCTCACTTACATGTGTCGGGAGGCTTTGAAGATCGAGGCATAACACAATAGACGCTATTCTTATTCAATGACATGTAAATGAGTTGCGGGGTATTCTGAAGTTGCTCCATGATCTGCTATATTACAGTCAAGAGAAATTACATGCTGGTCACTCTTATGGTTTAAGGAGTCAAAATGAAAACAATGAATCCTAAATTATATATTTTTTATGACTGAAGACTGTTACTAAAGATTAGCATCATTTAGAAGTTGGTCCGTTGCTACTATCATTTATCTTCCAATTTTTCTGAAGCATTTAGCGAAATAATCGAGTAATGGAAACAGAAAAACTTACCAAAGTCGCTCCAAGATTTTCAATCACGGGGATTTTATAACCTACAGTGTAAAAGACAAGACAATGTAGAAAATAATGCAAGATGGTCAACAAATAGGAAATATGTACTGCAAGCATCTCCAAATAACAAACAATACACTAGATTTCCAATAACTTCGTCCAAAGCAACACTCGTTTCAAAATAAAATTCCTAACTAATTTTTTTTATTCAAACCGCAGAATAAATGTTTACTTACCTCGCAAATCCAGTTCTCTATCTCTTAATGCATTTGTGTACTGCGGACTTTGCAGTATAAGATCTGCTGTCAACTTCATTTTATCGGTCAACTCCTGCCGTTAAATCTCTGATGAACAATTTAAAAGGTTCTCTAATGTCCTAAAAATGTTCACTGGTCTTTTAAATTTAGCTTCGACGAGTATTTTATGAGATAACTAGCTTTTTTCATGCAAACTTCGCTTGGTGATTGCGAACCGCCATCTTTGTTCCTTCGACACGTGAACATTGCTCGCCCCAGGTCCTACCAGAGCATTCGCCGATAACGCCTGGTGGTTTTGGTGTTTCTCGGGGAAAAATGTCAGCACGTTTTGAGAACGTTCCTGTGGTCGAAGTTTCAGCGGACAATTTTGCAGAATTATGGCCTTTTATGGTTCGTGCAATAAAAAAATCTTCATTTGTGGCACTGGACACGGTACGTGAGTGAGCATTTTTGAAAGAAATTTCTTCTCAAAGGTTTTCTAAACGTACCACCTTGATTTGAAAAATGTTTGGGAAGAAGAGTATAATTACAACTGTATTTCCATTTTAATCGAATTTCAGTAGTGTAATCTTTAACCCTGTACACCCTAGCACCAGTCTTCATATTCTCCATACTGTTATCTATACATTTCCTGGTATTGACAAGGAGAATTTGTTTAACAATCAAGAGCTTCTTTTGATGGTGATCACTTCCTTCATTCTCGTGATCTTAATGTTTGATCCAGGGGTGATATTGTGGGGAGAAATTAGACGCTAATCACTCTTTATGGGTTAAAGGGTTAGAGAGAATCCCAAATTTGGGCAATGTTTTGGAAAATAAATGCATCTGTGGATTTTTTTTCTTGTAGGAGATGAGTGGAATTGGTGAGAGAAAGAATCTAATGACACAGTAAGCAACAATGTTCTGATATCATTGTCTACTTTTCAGTCTCTATAACTGTCTGAATAATTGGCTTTTTGATTGCTATTCATTTCTATTTAATCATAACTTATCTCCAATTTTATTTAATATTTGACTTGATTGGGGTTTTTTCAATACCACACCATACAGTCTTGGTTCACTAAAATTTGTGGAATGTTGCTTTTGGAACTCTCTACCTGCTATTCAAAAGATCCCAACTGGCTCACTACCTGGGTTTATAATTATTATTTATTCCTTATTTACTTTGTATTGTTTAAATAATAATAATAGTAATGTTTATTGAGATAACTTTTTCATACCAATAGGGTTTTTACAAAGGAACTCATGAGATTAATAAATATGGAATACACCAAATCAATGATAAAATTTAATGCTCAAATATATAAAAACTATTAAATGTATGATGAATTGTTTGGCAGCTGATAGGTAGTATGTATCAATTGCTAGGTGCAGAGGTTTAACCCTTTAATCTCAAAGTGTGTCTGGCTTCTAATTTCTCCTTACAATATCACCCTTGAATCAAATGTAAAGGTCATGAGAATAAAGAAAATGATCACCAATTTAAGAAGCTTCTGATTGTCAAACAAATTCTCCTTGTCATAACCACAGGAATGTAGAGAGAACAGTATGGAGAATACAAATACCAATGTTACCGTAATTTCCGCCCATTTACCTGCACAGCAGATTACCTGCATTGGTCAATTTTTGCAATAATGAGAAAACAATTTCAACAGATTACCTGCGCTGGCAGATAATCCGCACCCAAAAACAAAAGAAAATTGTCAACTCACGCGCAAAGTTCCTTCATTGTTTTTGTTGATATGATATCCTTTAGCGTGCAATTGATAAATTTTCACACTTTTTGTCTTTGCTATTTCATTGAGAATGATAAATCTGTTCTAAAAAAAAAAATTGATATCACAAGATCTACTGGGTCAGAGAAATCGCTTGAAATGGGAAAATACTCTTGACCTCAAGGCAATGCGAGCAAATAAAATTTCTCTGATGCGTCAAATATTCTGTTACGCTAATTAATTATGTGGCGCCACAAAATGAACATGTCAGTATCATTTTCTGTGTGAATTGCCCTGAAGCCAGTCTTTTCACAGTAGTTGAATTCTTTTATTTCTAAGTTCACTTCCCATGTAAGTGAGAATTGTTTTTTTTTAACTAAACAAAGAAACAAGCTGCGAAATTGACAAGGTAAGAAAGTAAGAGTACAAACAAGATAAAAGCTATGTTATCGAGTTTTGTATGTTTCTTGATTTGCATCGGCTTTCATCAAGAGCAATAAAGTCTCTTATTGTAATGAGCAATCTGTGCGAAATAAATGAGTTATTGCACAAGTTTTTTTGAAGAGTATCTGTATTGGATATTATCACCTGTTTTTTTAATTCTCCTTACTGCCTGTCATGTAATTCTTATGATGTTAGTTCAGAGAATTTGGTATTGGATCAACTAATAATGCCATACTAAATACTTTTCTTTATTCTTATTACCTACCTGCTTGATATTGTATTGATATTGTAAGGAGAAATTCTGCTTTGGTCACTTGTGGGAGTGACAGGGTTAACAAAATTGTATGTCTTATTCTTCAGATTTGTTGAAGACCGGTATAAATACATGTGTGAAGTGGCACAATCCAGGGCCATTCTCTCTCTTGGCATTTCTTGTTTCAAATTGAAGAAGAAAAAGATGAATAATGAAACAGAATGCAAAGAATCTGGAACAAAACTGAACATCAGGATCAAGACATTTAACATTGTCGTCCTTTGCACTGAAAACTTTGTGGTAGAACCAATGTCTTTGACATTTTTGGTCGGACATGGCTTTGACTTTAACAAACAGTATGCCAGAGGGGTTCCATATTCAAGAGGAGATGATAAGTTACAGGTAATAATGGTTTGAATGTTACCTCAATAATAATGTACATGAAAAAATTAAGTGCTTCTGATTGGCTGAAAACAAGCGCATTCTCATATAACACTAGTGCAAAGTTGTAACTAAAGTGCAAATTACAAATAGCATGTGCACATTTTCAAAATTTTGTCTGTGTTGACTTTCTGTGATGTTTTTTCTATAAATTGTTAACAAGTAATAATATGTGTTCTCTTGCAATTTGGTGTAATAAGCACTTGTAAATTTTTCAAAGACTACAAATTGCACTTGCCCTACTAGCTTGTGCAATTTGTTGTCTTTGAAAAATTGACATGTGCTTATAAACACCAAATTGCACTTGAAGTCATGTTATTACCAATACTTATAGGAGTGGGAGGCTTGGTTAGTGCGCTGGATTCAGGGTCAATAAGTTTAAGACCTGGGGGAGTCAATGTGTTGTGTTCTTGGGCAAAATGCTTTACTTTCACAGCGCCTCTCTGCACCCAGGAGTAGAAATGAGAACTTGATGAAATGCCAGGGGAGTAACTTTGGGATGGACTGGCTACCTATTCAGGGGGGGGTACTTATACCCTTAGTCACTTCATTGGACAGAAACTGGGATAAGCTCGAGCTCAATGGGCTACTTGGCTCAAGCACAGACTGTGCCATAATTATAAGACCATACTGTGGTGGTGTTAAGACCAGAATTTAAAACAGTAGTTCATTAAAGCTAAGAAACAAATGATTAAGCAAACAAACAAATGTGATATAAAACCATTGAATGAGTGTTAAAGAAAATTTGATGGAATTACAATGTTACTCATTCCCCATTCTGTCAAGATGGTGCTTGTATTAAGAAACTTAATTTCAAAAAAGCAGAAGTTTTATTATTCTTTTGATATTATAGCCCAGAAGTTGCATTTGTTCAACAACCTCCCAGATCTTCAGAATTTAAAACAACTGACCACAACAGCCAATTACCACAGAGCACAAAAAATATCATATATTTTCCCTAATTTTCCAAAAGCCTCTATAGTCTCCTCATAAACTAAAGTACTGTTTTTGTTTATCCTTCAGGTAAAATCTGGCACACCACAGTACTCTGTGAGAAATCTCTTCAATCAACTTATTCTGGCCAATAAACCTATTGTCGTTCACAATGGTTTTTTAGATTTGGTGTTTTTGTATGAGAACCTCTACTGCAAGTTGCCTGACAAACTACAAGTGTTTACTGCAGATTTAGCAGAAATGTTTACAGCTGGTGTATTTGATACCAAGTTTGTGTCAGAGTACAGCGTGAGGGAACCTGCATCATTCTTGCTCTATATTTTCAAAAAATGGTGGGTTTGTGAGAAATTTTTTTTATTCAAAGTCAAGGAGAATTTGTTAAACAATCAAAGTGTCTTTGGTTGGTGATCATTTTCTTTATTTTTCTGATCTTGTTCTATGATTCTGTAGTATTACTGTAAGGAGAAATTAGATGCTGGTCACTAAGGGTTTAGAGGTGTATAACATCATGCAATTTGTGTTCACTTCTGCAGTACTCTTGTTTATTCTTAGAAACTAAGGGGCAGTTATTTAACATCACTTTGACACAACTGCTAGGAAAATGCTTTAACTGAAAGTCCCTAACAAGACTATGCTCCTGCTGAGCTTGCTTCCCTAAAGCCACAGATTTTGTCTTTGGGTGGGTAGTTTAGCTTTTCTTTCATGAAGCTTTCATGAGCTGGGCACTTGAGATTTATTAGACAAGAGCCTTCAGGCACTCCCAGTGATCCCCTGAAAGAACAGCTTTGATCTGTCAAACAAAGAAAGGTTGAATTTTGTAATCTAAACTGTGCTTAAGAAATCAAATTACAAAATAGGTCTGCAGAACCCTTTTGAACTTAGGTAATAAATACAAGACAAAGAAAATTATGGTACAATTTACTTGAAGAATTCCAGACCAAGAAAAAGATGGAACCACAACATACTTACATCCAGTATGACCTATCTTCAGGTTGAGCTAATAGCAAGTGTTTGTTCTTTATTTAGCCAAAGGACCAACATTCATCATCAAAACCAAGGAAGAAAGTATGTTTGTCCAAAATTTCGCGAAGAAGCCTCACTATCAAGTTTCACTGAGCACATCTATTGTGGGGCACGTGATGAAAGCGAGGCTGTTAATGTTGACGTCATGGTCTGTGAGAAATTTGCGGTAAGTTTTGCATAATGGTTCTTGTCAGCTCTGATCGTGCGGCTGATGTTGTTTCTGTGAAGGAATGTTCTTGGAGTTTCAGCCACCTTAGTGGTGGCCATTATTTTTGAGTTGTAAACCGTTGAATGTTTAGTTCCATGCTTCTCCAAAGTTGTACCTCTCAAATGATCTGCATACATAGCTATGAGCTCAATCGTGCGGCCAGAGGACCTAGAGAGCGATTTTGCAAAATGAAAAGGAGCCACAGACGGAGACGTCTCTTGGAAGCAATTTTAAAATGAGCTTGGTTTATTTCGCTCTGTGATCGGCCCAGAAAAACTTGCATCTCTCTCTCAACCAAGAACGTGTAAACCTCAAACCAGTCGCGACTTGTTTCCCCGCATTTTCTCGTGCTCTAGACACCTAAGTTCTAATAGGCTCCCTGTGACATCTATCTGATTGGCTCACGGCTTAATTTGGTGTTGGTTTTACAATCCTCAATCAAGATGTGCTCATTACCGACTCTCGATCAGCTTTAATCCCCTTTACACCCTTACATCAGTATGCATATTCTCCATACTGTTCTCTACAAATTTCCAAAGGTGCTGACGAGGAGAATTTGTTTAACGATCCACAACTTCTTTAGTTGGTGATCATTTCCTCAATTCTTGTGACGTTAATGTTTTATTCAGGGGCGAAATTGTAAGGAGAAATTAGATGCTAGTCACTCTCAGGGGTTAAAGGGTTAACCAAACCGAATCTTATTTTCACGCGCGCTCCCATTCTCGTCCTCAGGGCCACTCGTTTTTCCTCACTCTTTCCCCCAACCAAAACCGGAAGAAAGGAGGACCCTGCGGACGATTCGCTCCGACCTTTCGTTTCAAACAGGAAGCATGCACAAAATTTGCTACCGTTTTATTCTCTCCAACATTAAAGTAAAATATTTCCTATTAGCTTCTTTAAAATCACTACATTCAGTTTTTTTTGCCTTTCGCTTTTGTCCGGACAGGCTTATGGATTTTGTCCTCGGGAAAAATCCTGTTCATTTTCACACGACGTCGATGATGTTTTGGATCGTGAGTGGAGAGTGAAAGAAACCAAGAGGCTGAAACGAAAACGAAAACGTCACAACTCTGGTGAGTTTAGGAGCTGGAAGAAAAATTTCACCTTTCAATTTTTAAGTCCCTTGCGACGATTCAAATCCTAGGCGGTAAACTCTTGCTTACAACGGTTGGGTTTGTAAGAATATAAGGTTAAATGTGAATCAAGATACAAAGTCAGCTCTCGAGCTAAATGGCTCATTCCCCTTACGCTTAACCAGATTTCCTTGACATAAAACGAATCGCAGGCTCCATAATTTCCTCAGTTTTCCCTCATTATCAGAGTATTCCTTGAGTTACGTGAGCCAGCGAAAGGTCTGCAAGCGGTCTAGCACTGTTTACTAGTGCTGGACCCCCGGCAAACCTCTCCACGACTCGTCTCAAATGTTCCCGTGGGCGGAGAAACGCGCGTCCCGCTCACAGTTTTTTTTTCTGGACATTTTGTTGGTACTAATTTTTTCATCTGGGTGGAGGGTAAACAACACAATGACTCTCGACCGGAGTCCAGAACCCTAACTGTGAGGCCACAACGTCTCCCAATCTGAATCACACGAAGTTTAATTATTTAGCAACTGTTTTATTCATTTTAGGTAATAATGAATGCGATGTAACTAAAACACATGGTACTGAAAATTCGCCCCAAACAGACACTTCGGAGGTAGTGGGTGCACGTGATAAACAGGACACTCACGTGACGTATCTGCGTGATGCTCACGTGAGTCAATCCAACGGCGTCAAGACACGTGACTGTGGTCACAGAGCAGGTTTCGATGCGTTTATGACCGGCTATTGTATGGCGACTTATCTATTACAGCTTGGCAAAGAAAGTGTTGATAACGAACTCAGCCTCTCCTCCCTAGTGGATGTTGCGAACAAGCTAAGCCTTACAAGGAAAGACGTTCCATTACAAATCACTCGAAGTCATTTCACTCGACCGTCAGCTTCGCACGCTGAAAAACTTAAACGACTGAAAAATCAGCCTGAGTCGTCAGAACAGGCATATTGAAATATTTAGCACTGCTAAATTTCTTTGTAACATTTCAAAATGTCAATTTTTAAACTATTCCTCTCCAAAACATTTCATTATTAATTTTTTCATTTTATTGTTGCATCCTAGTTTTATTTGCTCTTTCGCAAAGTAATCATTTTTTATTCCTTTTTTTTTTTTTTTATCCAAAATTAAAATGATTTTTTATCCTTGAAAAGTGAGTTTTATACATGTTATCATGGGTTGTTTTCTTCTTTTCCTAATTATTTTCTCTTTCCTTTCCTGTTATTCCTGATATATATATGGATTTTCTCCGTACCTGTTCATATTTAGTTACATAATCGTGAACTCGTTGATATACTGTGCAGAAAATTAATTCTTACTACCCGCGCGCGAGGGCTCTACTGGAGCCGTGTAGTAGGGTTTGGATGCAACGATGTCCATACGAAAACGACCGAGGACCAATATTCTCCAAACTGCTCCAGCAAGTGAGGTTAGCAGGTAGTTTATTACATTGTATTCGGACCAAACTTTTTTATTTTGAATTTGCCAGCTTTCGCGAAAAAAATGCACTACTTATGACTGTTTCGGTGGAAACGGTTAGTATTGCAAAGTATTCTCTTAGAAAGAATCAATCAGAACGCTCAAATTTACCTCAAGACTACCTTGCTATATAATAGAATTGTTTATTTCGTCGGCACAAGTCTGAGGTTGCAAAATAAACTTCAACGAGCAAGTTCTTAAGAGAGAATCGTCAGTAGTTCAAATTCTGATTAATGGGCTATTCTACGGTACTTATCTGGCCCAAAATTCGCCGTCATCTTCACAAAAGTTCATCCTGATTTCTTGCCTAAATAGGACCGCTGTCTTGAATAAGGTGCTTGCTCTCCCCAGACTCCTAAGGCCATGCTAACGGCACGAAATTTGCATATCGAATCCTTCGCATATTCAAGAGTAAAAACGAGTAGGATGAAAAGGGAAAAAAGACGATTTAAATTTTTAAAGATGTAAAAACTCTGATATAGCTCCTTTAAAATGATCGACGAATACGTGCAGAATGGAGGGAATTTTCCTTTGCTAATAAAAAATTCATGTTAGATTTCCATAGTCACGTTATTTTCGTGCCAATTGCCAGCTTTTATTGCCAAATCTTGAAGCATTGTATGGACAGCTGGATTCTCGGGAAGAAATTCAACCACGATCGATCTTTGTTCAGTTGGGATACAGCTAGTAATTGTCTCATAAAACCAGAGGAATACAGGCCTGCCATTGCACGCATGGATTATGAAATGGAGTAGGGGGAGGTCGTAAGGTGTAATATGGCCCCGCTTTGGTATGAAAAAATAACAATTTGTAATGATAGAACATCCTAGTATCCCCCTAAAATCTACTTAGACGCTGATGAAACATCCCCCTCCTGAAAACAATTTTATCTCATGCCACTTTGAAAGAAAACGAAGCGTTGGGAATTTCCATTCTAATGCTAATCTATGCATATTATTTTTTCCGATGCAGCAGCTGCAGTAAGCGGAACTGTTGACGATGCTAAACTGAGGTTTCAGTAAGGGAAATAACTAATAAATATTTTGAGCAAATCTGACCTACAGGTAAGTAGATCCCTTTGTTTTAAAGGACTGCTTCTTTTGCATGGATATTACATCTGGAAACTTCGTTGGGGTGTTTTTTACTATGTTAAAATGCTACTGATTAAGAAGTATTGTTTATTTTTTAATATTTTAATTTTCGTTCTTTTGTGAGGAGAAATTTTTAAGTGTGAAGCAACTCACGAAAAATTAAGAAGGAATTCTCTCGATTTTTTTTCTTGTCTTGAAAGGAGGATGTTTAATGGATGTGCGTGCCTTTGAAGTCTGAAATAATGTTAATATATGCACAAAACATCAACAGTCGACTTCTTTTGTAATTGGCTTTTTTCCAATTAGGAATTTTGCAACCTCTGCCAGCAACTGGGTATCATAGCAACGCGAACTGGGCGCTTGGTTCCTGTCCAATCTCCTTTCATTCAGTAATTGGAGGACGACAAAATTTCTAAAAGTCGTATCGACACCGCATTGATGTCTGTGCTCTCTTAATGAGCTGTCAACCAAAGCGACTGAGCTGGAGATGGTGAGTCAATCGAAAAATTGTTTGTTTAAATAAATACTTGGTGTAGTGGAAAACTGCATTCGAAATCAGACATGCGGTTCTTTCCCATATGCGAAACAATACCCAACGAGTGTTGTGTAAAATGACAGAAAAAGTGGGTTGTTACAAGGACAGTCACGCAGGGCTGTCTTATAATGATGCTCGATCAACGTTTTAGCTTTCATCCCATCTCTCAATCGTAAATTTAAAAAAATGGATAGAAATAAGGAAAGAATATATGAAATAAGCATTTAGTTGAGAGTGATGTTTATACAACGAATATTTAAATTCAATCGCGTTTTAGCGAACGATTATTTTCACAACCGTGGCTTTTTATCTGTTAATATGCCTCCAGTCTTAATTAAAGAAATGGGGTTTTTCGAATTCGCACTTTACCTTAACCCTAAGGAGGTTAATTTTTAATCGTTGAAATTGCGCTTTTGGAGATCCCTTTACACATAGAAAGAAACCCAGGATTAATGAACTTTTTAAAACAAAAATGTCTAGTGACAGACCTAGGTATGTGAATAAATAATTATAGTCAATTTGCATGTATATATGGGGGATATTTTAATTTCCTCACGTTTTAAATATACGTATTTGTAATCCATAGCTAGGACGTACCTTTTCGCGTCAAAAATTACAAATGTTGTCTCTCCTTTATTTTTGACAACAATTACGGCAAATTTCTTTTTTTTGGCTCAGAGAAAATACAAATTGGTTTTAATAATACGGCTTAAAGTCGTAAATGAAGACAATCGTCATCGAACACTCACTGTGAGCCCAAATCCACAATTGAAGTAAATCTTCCAAGAATTACTCTGATGTCCTTTCAGTTATGTGTGATAAAAATATCTTCCGCTAGTTTATCATTGGACAGTTATAATCCATTATCTCGAGACACCATCTCTGTTAGAAGGAAAAGCACTTGGAACCAAAATTTTGCCAATGAATAATAAATACTGTTATCAAAATATACGTTTTTTTTCAAACGAGTGAGTCTAAAGTGGAATCTTTCATTTATATGCGAGTTGTTCAATACAGTGAAAATCCTGTACTGTTTATTTGTATTATTATGGCGCATTGTTAGCGGAAATGTTGTTTAAGTAAGCCCATTGAAGCTTTGTCATGAAGAACTGAGATCGAGAAGGAAACGCTTATTTTATGATCGGAAGTAGTTTCTGTGTTAGTCGGGTTGCTGTAAGCAACCGAACCCACTGTCTTGAATGCAATACCTAGGAGACAGGGGAGGGAAAGGCGATGGGGGAGGGGGGGGGGAGAGGGAAGATAAGAAGGGCAGGGGCAGGCGGAAGGATGGAAGTACGGGGGGAAGATTTGGGACGGGGGGTTGAAGTCAGTGGAAAGGTTAGTGGTGTGGGGTCAGGGGAAGATAGGAGATCAGGGGGATGTTGGAGGAATATTGAGGACAGGGGAAAAATGGACAAAAAAAATTATAGGGGGTTGATAGGGGATCAAGGATGAGTTGAGGGGAACGATAGGGCTGACGAAGGGCGATAAGAAACAGGGGAAATAAATGAAGAGAGTAATTAAAACAGAAGCCCATGTCATGATTCTTTGTAAGCTTACTAGGGTTTTTCAGTTATGTTTTCTATTTTTTTTCCAAAAAATGAACAGGAATCATTGACTCGAGAGCAAATTGGAGGTAAGTTTGTCAAACAATAAATACTGAGCAGTATAAGACATGTTTTAAATTTCTGACTAGACCGCCTCAGTGTAGCAAATATGGCACCTCAGATTTAAGCTGAGTAAACAAACCTCTGAGTGAAAGAAAGAAAATTTCTACAATGTTTAATCAGGCTCTCTGTTCAGATTTGGGAAGTTGATACGTTATAAGGTAATTTCAGCTCACTGAGCCAATTTGAATTCCTCGAAAAAACAAGATCAAATAATATTACACCACTAGTTTAGTCCCAAGCGATCTCTATACAAGATTTAACAGATAGAGTAAGGCAATGACGTAATGTTCTATAATAGGACCCAGGTTTTTTCACGTCCAAAACTTGATAGGTCTGGCACTAGTCAGCCACCATACAAAGAGCTAACGCATGTGGAAACAGCAAACAACTGAATCAGAAAGACAGCGTTCTTGTTTATTGTAAATTGCAAAAGCTGTGATAATGGAATCGCACAGCGTCATTTCAGTCGTTTATCAGTCCATTCATCCACTGCATTATTGGGTCCCATCTAATTTTGCTTACTTTTTCATCTGATGCTGTGTACCTTTGTAGAATACCGGGAAGCCTTTAAATGCTTTGATTTGAACGAAAATGGAACATTATCGACCAAGGAATTGAAATATGCCATGCGCATGCTCGGATCAAACCCAACCGATTCCCAAGTGCAAGAGCTGGTGAATGAAAAAGATTTCGATGGTAAGACACTCTGTTTGTTAATCACGCTTGTTGTTCACTTACTGATTGGACCTGAGTCAGTGTCTCCGTGCAGTCCTTAACACCGAATAGTTTTCTTGTTGTACTCGGCTCGACATCGAGTCTTATTACCTGCCCTACATTTCTATTTCCATGGAGCAGAGTAAAAGGCGCACGACGTCAATCTTCACAGTGCTCGCGTTTTCGTAAAAAACCGATCTTACCCGAAGACATCTGAAAATTTCCGACGATTTGAGTTCATTTTATGCCATAAACTTTGGCGTAAGAAATCAGTTGGTAGGCTTGTGCAGGCACGGGCTATATTTTGACTTTCTTTTTTTTTTGCATGCTGATGTGTTTATTAAGTTTGCAGAAATTACTAACTGGTCCCTCCTGGTAGTGAACAGATCAAAACGATAATAATATTTTCTTAAAATCTGGAGAGAAAAACGTTTGCACTTATCCTCGAATTTTTTTTCTTCCCTTCCAATAGGAGATGGGACGATCAATTTTGAAGAATTTGTAAATATGATAGAAGATCAAAATAGCGCGGAGGACGAAGATAATTTATTTACGATATTTAGTGTATTCGACCCTGAACATAACGGCTTTGTTGAGGGAAAAAACATAAAGAAGTCTCTTCTTTGTCTGGATGATGTTCCCGCAGAGGAACTGGATGAAATTTTAGAAAAAGCCGGAATAACGGATGACAGAAAATTAACAATGGAAGGTAAGATCTTTAATTATTAACCCTTTGACTCCCAAGATCAAATTATTAATTCTCCCCTCAAGATGCTACACATTTCTTTGTGAAGTAGTAATGAGAATTTGGTGTTGAATCAAGATGACAACTTCTACCTGATAAGTTTGAATATTCTCATTTCCTATTTGCTGGATAATGTAAGGATATTATAGGGAGAAGTTTCATGTTGATCACTTCTAGGAGTTAAAGGGTTAAATCGTGTGGCAATTTTCAATTGAGAGTCGAAAGTAATCCGAGACTGCTTATGGTTTGCTTAACTTCGCTCTGTGATTGGTCAAGAAAATGCGCGTCACCTCAACCAATCAGATGCAAACTAAAACCATTCAGCACTTCGTCGCCGGGGTTCTCAGGCGCTTTAAGCAATTTGGTCGTACGGTTCTCACATTTTAAATTTAGTTCATTTAATTAAATAAGTCAAATTTAGTTTGGTGTTTATTGTCTTTCAAGTGAAAAAGATCGCAAATCATACTTTCTCTTGTGATTTTATTTCAGAGTTTTCTACTCTTCTCGTACCACTGATATACAAGTCAGGAAGAATACTACGATATCATGAAAAAACCTGGAGAAGAAGCAACAATTTTGAAGCGATCTCAGAGTCAAACGTTGAATATATTTAAAAGTATTTAATTTATTAGACCATTACATGATATAATAGATAATGTTTCTCTTACTTTGAGCGCTAGAGACAATTTCTTCCCTGAAATACAAAACCGGATTTTGTTTGTCTTCGTACAAACATCGAATTTCTAGGTGGTCTCGCAATAATAAGTTTTGAATTAGGTTTGGAGGAGCTTAGAGATAAGAACATTGTAGACTTGTTTTTTTTTTAAGAAAGGGTGCAGTACACTCTTAGATAGGTAACGAAAATGATCAAGTGGTTTTAACTGACGCTTAAACAAAACTGTGTGCATGGTTTTCCTCTCGAAAATTGGGAAATTTTAATTGACGGTCGAAAGTGATCTGAGCATGCATTGGTTTATTCGCTTCATTTCGCGCTGTGATTAGTTTACGAATCTCACACCAACTTCTCAACCAATCAGATTCAAAATTAAAACCAATCGCGAGTGTCTCACTCGCATTTTTTCGTGCCTCAGGAGGTTTGCTGCTTTCAACTTCGTTTGAGCGTTCCATATTGCCTTTTTGACATATTTTATTCCCTCTGATTGGTTTTTCGGCACCAGATCAACAGATAGCTATCCGTTTACTGCCTGATCCCCTCCAAAAACTGGATCCAAAAACAAGTCTGTTTAAGATTGCGTCTTCCGTCTTTTACGGCGTGAAGCCTGGGCTAATCTTAGAAGCGTTACGTAAACTTGCGTGATGCATAAGAAGGTCACGCCAAGGAAGAACAGATGAGGGATTAGTCGTCGCCAACAGTGTATAAAGGGGGGGGGGGGTGGGGGAATCTAGAAAGTTGACTGTCAATTAACTGGAATGTGGGGGAGAGGGGGGAGGGGTTGTAAAATTTTTACCGAACCTTATTGGGAGATCAGGTTAATTTCATCGTGACTCAACCAAAATCCTCCCACCCCTCCCCCCCTTCCCTTTGGCGAGAAATATTGACCAGTCCCTTTATAATATTATTTAATAGGAGATTATTTTATAGATTATGCATTGAATAATTGAAGTTTTCCATCATTTTTGTTGTTGTTTTTTTTTTGTTTTTTTTTGTAGTAAAAAGCTTACAATGACTTGGTCCAATAGTAGCCAAGAATAGAGTGCTATCTGACCTACCAGTGACGCACCGGTAGGAAAAAGAATAAAAAGGTCAGACTCTTTCGCACATATGTGGGAATACTACCTCCCTTTTCTAAAGGTGATCATCAAGTAATCATTTGGGGCTTTCATCGAGAATGACCAGCTTCTAGTTTCTCCTTACAGTATCACCCATGGGTCAAATGTTAAGGATATGGGAATAATGGAAATGATCAGCAATTTAAGAAGCTCCTGACCGTCATACAAATTCTCATTGTAAGTACCACAATAAAATGAAGTGAAATCAGTGCGGAGAATGTGTATACTAATATCAGGGTGTAAAGATATAGATGAAAAAAGATCTAGCCAGTTCACATCGAAAACTGTCTCAAGCATTACACAGTGTAACTTCACGTAGTAGAGGAGAAACTTGAGGTTTTGTGTGCGCAAAGGCTTTGAGCGTGAAGCCGCGAGAGACTTGGGACGGATGTTGGTTGTGGTGACTTCACTGCTTATTCCTTAGCTAACATAAAACGGTAAAGCGCATGTAAAAACCGCCAGCATTTCAGGGTAGTTATCAAATCTTGGTGGTATGTTAAGCTTTCTTCAAGCAGGTGAATACTTCTTTGTCTTTTGTTGTTCACTATGTAAGGTCACGTAATTTTAAGAAAACAGTCCTCTGTGACTTTCGACTAAATCGAGGAATTCTGCGGAATAAAAATAAAAAAGAATCAATAAATGAATAAATGATAAATTCATTTGCCGTTTCCCCAATCTCCAGGACCAGAAAACCACGCAACTATTTCTTTTTGCGGGATAAAAGCGAGCATCCCGTGGCAAGATGCAAAATTTTAGGGAACAATGTCAGTTACTGGACAACTGCACACTTACCCCTCCCCTAACCCAACTATAATCATAATTTGTTATCAGTTGACTGTTGTTGAGTTAGGGGAAGGGTAGGTGCGGAGTAACTCAAGATACTAACATTGATCCATGTTATTAATTTTTAGTAGGGCCAGGTTTATAATGTTAGGAAACTCTCGAGTACCTTGATAACTTATTTTTCTATCTCGTTCTAAATCAGCAATCTCCATCAGCTCTTTAATCTCTTCCTGCGGAATTCGTTTGTCCATATTTAGTAGTATGTAGCGTAACTCCGCTGACTCGATGTACCCCTTATTGTCGGCGTCAAAAATTCGGAATGCTAACATCATGTCTGCCTCTCGTTCATCTGGTTTTTTCTGAATCTCCATAAGTTTGACAAACTCTGGAAAGTCTATGACGCCGTTTCCTAGGAGGAAAATTGAGTTGGTCTTGAAACTTTCAATCTTTTAACGAGAATCTTTTTTTAGCGCGTAATTGATTTAAACTTCGTAGAAAATGATTGATGGCATATTAGATAGTCTAAACAGTAATATACAAATTCTGGCTCAAATCGTATCGTTTTATCCCCCTTCATCGTAATCTTGTACTCAGATCTTACCGTTGAACTGTGGAAGGAATGGAAGGTCTGGGCACGAGAGGGATCAGTGTTATTTATCACCTCAGGGAGAGTGGGTGGGTCGGAAGATTTTTAGGGGGTACATGATTTTCAGGGGGGAACAGAGGGCAGATCAGTCTTCACTAACATAGTTGAAAGGGGGGGGGGCTACAGAAATTGACTGAAAATGTGGGGGGGGGTCATAAGAATCCAACAGAACTTTGGGGGGGGTCGGATAAATTTATTGCGATAGAACAAAATCCTCTGTCAACCCTCAGGCGATAAAGAAATGCCCAATCCCTCATTACTTATCATAAAAATGCACCTACAGTTGCCATACCGTCATAATCCACCGCATTTATCATTGCTTGTAATTCTTCTTCAGTTGGGTTAAACCCCAGAGATCGCATTATGGCGCCCAGTTCCCTGGTGGTGATAATGCCGTTGCCATCACGGTCGAACAAAGAAAAGGCATCCTTGTATTCTAGATGAATATTTAAATCTTTAATTTAATTTTCGGGCAAACGCAAATCGAAGTTTTGTACCCCTCCCCCAAAAAATAACACACAAAAAGATTAAAGGTTTCCATTTTTAATTTTACAAAGGAAAATAAGGCAAAAAACGAACCAAATTATTGTATCGCATAATTTCTCTCATTATCAGGAGCCCATTACTTTAAGTGATGGTCTCCTGTCATTATTAATTCTCTTCCTGTGCATATGTATTTTCGCTGAAAGGATAACTGAAAAAAATGTTTCGCCGGCTTGAGTTGATGATGAGAAGAGATTACCGTCCCGAAAAGGGCGTTCCTTGTAAGCTTAAAGGATAATGGCCTCTTTGAGTGTTTTAGAAAAATCTATTTTGAGAACAGGCCTCGTTTTTGAAGCATAATTATCAGAACTGAATAGTTGATCATACCTGCAATTTGTTCGTCAGAAAGGTTTTCCTGAGGAAAAAAAAATACAGTTGAAATGAAATAAGTTGACCCATTAGGAGGAACAGACATAAATATTGATAATACTGAAGCTAAGGTAAAGCTGATTTCAAAAGCATTATATTTGTTATAGGATGAGAGCTCTATCCAGCACATTTGTTTGGCTGAGAAGAGAAACTAATAATTAAGCGTTGCCGATCCAAAACAAAATTATCGCAGACAGAATAGAAAAAATGTCCCTCCCTTCCCCTCGAAAAAAAGCTTACTTTTCGTCCTTAAAGAGATGGAATACACGGATACCCAGGTCGCTCTAGAAAGTAGTGTAAACCGACCAATAACAAAGTGAATAAAAAAACCTTGTGTGGTCACGGAGATCGCCGTTTACTTCCGACATTCATTACCTCAGCCTCGTTTGCAATGTTTTAAGAACGAGGTTGATCGACTGATAAATATCACTATTTACCACAGTTATTAGAGGCAGTTATTAGTTTTCTGTCAATAGCTTCGATAAATGAGCAATTTTGCGACCTCTCCAATCATTTGAACAACTTAAGCAAAAAAGTTTCAAGTGCTCTCTTATCAAGAGGCAACAAAAAGTGTACTCGTTTCTTACCAATCGAGACAAATTTGTTTGCGCTAAAAATAAACGTGGAAATAAAATTTTTTCAGATGTTAAACCATCTGCTGCTTGTGCGTCACTTATCAGCAAATAAAAAGTGGTGCATTGTTTAGATCAAAAGAGAATTTGAAAACCGGGCAGGTGGAATTTTATTCAGACTGACAGAAGAGGGGAAATTTACGTCTTCATGTCTGCCCGACATTTAGATTCGCGACAAGTTCTGGCGAAGAGCATTAGCAATATGAATGATATAGAAATTTTGAAAATTTTTGATCGCTCCTTAAAAGACGTTCAAAGTTAAAGATTATGCAATTAGCTCAGCCTTTAAAAACTGAACTGTTTGAATCTTATTGGTACGGTGCAATTGATAAAATTAAGCAATTGTGTGCCAATATTGATGTTGTTGTCATTTTATCTGAAAAGTTTTATTGAACGCTTCGCCCTTACGCGAAATTTTCCCTCCTTCAAAAGTAAAATTTTAGTTTATGTTCCATTTTAAGGTTGATTTAAAAGTAATAAAGAAGCTATCAAGTGATCTGTTAACGCTGATGTGGGAATCAGCTTCACCTTTTCTACGGTTTAGTTGTGTTTTTCCATCTCTTTTGGCAAAGCGTAAGTCTTCTTTGAATTTTCAGTTCCAAAGGATTTAACAAGTCCAAATCGCTCTCCAAAAAATTACTTAACGATAAAAAAAACTGCTATGTGATTAAAAATGAAAGGAGCAACTCACCATGTTTTATAGCGCCTTTCTCATCAACAGCATTTTCACCTTCTTTGAAAGCAAGTTTGTCAAGTTAACGCGTTTGCAAATACACTTTGCATATCCTTGGGACCGAATGATCTCATTGGGTGCGGAAAAAAATTGCAGCCGACAGAAAACTGCAGCTGCTGTTCATGTAAGACAATAAGTAGCTGAAAACGTAACTTGTTCTGTATTTTAGGATCACAAAATAACTACTGTGTTCTTGTGGTGTCTTAATTTTGTGTCGTCCAGCTAAAATAATGCCAACACAAGTGTCATCACTTGGTTGATCTTACTTCATCTTTTCATTGAAATTAGCTTCCTTTATTATGATCAGGTGAAACGGAGATTTTATTCAGATGGAGTTTGAACGAATTGAAGCAAGGAAATGCCGAACGCCGAGCTGAATCAATCAAAACTGAATTCGATAGAAATTCTACTCTTGCAAAATACGTCAAACTTAGAAAAAGATAACCAAGAGAAATCATAAGACTCTATTTTAGCTTGTCTTGATCGGTTCGTCTAGCATGAAAAATGAAATTTGATGCTTGAATTTCAGCCGTTCCTAAATTTAAAACTTCACCACCTCCTTTCCAGCTGATCTAGACGGAGATCTAGACTTTTATTTTTCGCCCACGTAATTAAAAAAAAAAAGGTTTAAAACCTGAATTTTCCATGACTACATTCCTCTTTATTTACTGCCATAACTTGGATTGTTTTTCATCTCTGAATTTCAATTCGCCTCTTGCTATCTTATCTACGGGTATATCTTGTATACCACAAGGGATCCGTTTATGAAGTTCGAATGATCAAACTGAATAATTTCCACCATCAGTTTCCGTTTTTTGTGCTCTTTGAATTAGGACGTTACTCGTAACTTAAAGGGGCAAAACTTTTAGAATTCATCAAATAGATGTACTTTTTTTGAAACTGTTGAGGTGACAAGACAAGAGATTACACCTCAATTTTCAACAACTCCCGTTTTCTTTACTCTGCTATAGTTACGGCCGAAGCTACACATACACGAAACTTGCTAACTAAACAAGAAATATTTCGCGATGTCTTTGGTTCTCTTTGTGCAATTGGTAACTTGATAAATTTCCAAACGAGACTGACTACAAACGGTAAAAGTAGTGGATTATATTTCATTGTAACCTAATCAGAAAAGAACATACAACAGCCATTTTTGCTTCCGTCAAGTCTCAGATCTGCGCTCTCTATGGCCAAGCTGGCGTGCGAATTTCATCTAAATTGCTAATTTCAAGTAAGTTCTTCGACTTTATATTGGATTAGAAAGAGACGAAGTTATGTAAAAAGAAGGCTTACCTGAATTCAATTCTCTCAACTCTTAAATCTAGAATGTTTAATTCTAGGCTTAATTTAGAGCAGTTTTTATTTTAAAATACGAAGCGAAACATATTCCATTTAAAAATGGAATTTGCGACTTTGTTTGTCGCCATCTTTCCCGTTGTTTTGCGGTCGATTTAAGATCGGTTTTTTCGGTCATTTCCCACCGTCCCTTGTAAGTTTCAATAGCTGTTACCCCGAAAGCAAGCGTGATACTGAATTTGGCTGAATGAATTCCGCAGCGTTTGACATATCGACTCATATTACCTAGCGGAAAAACGAGTTACTTTCGTCTCTTCCCCTAAAAACACCTCGTGAGTGGGCAAGACAAAAAAGGAAAACAGTTCAACATGCATTTAAGAGTTAAAAGCAGAAATTATTGCTGGCAGTCTGATAACATAATTTAACTTAATTGCCAACGAAAGGACCTAATAACCTTGGCTATATATTTTTTGATCACTTGGCTTGAGTAATATGAGGGATCCGTTTTATATAAACAGCTAAAAACTTCCTGACCAGCTATGGCGTCTGTGGCTCTGTGGAAGAGCATGAGAGTATTTATCGAGAGGTCTGAGGTTCGAGTACTCATGGGATACTATTTTTTATTTTCTCATGCTTAAAAGTTTGGCTTATCTTACGAAGCTCAGTTCATATTTGTTTTTTTTTTCCACGGAAAAATAAAGCTCCACATAATGCTCATCTAAACTTGGTAAAATACTGCTTATTGCTTCTAAACTGTGTATAGCACCAAACAAGGGTAACTGTCTCTTTCCCCTTCCACTACCCTACTCCCCTGATTCAAGTTTTGTCATTTCCCACTGTTCATTGCAACCGCAGTCTACTGTGTGGAGGCGACGTGGAAGTTGTTGAGGAAATTTGAAGTTCCGACCGTAAGCTTTGTTTAGGTTTGTTTTTATCGTGATTTTGGTTGTGTGGCCAGTGTTGCATATTTATATGAAGCATTCGACAACTTCCTTGCATGGCTATGGCTTTGTTGGCAGCCCGTGGTTTACTTTGCACTAAAAATATCGAAGATCACGTACAAGAACTTCAGTTACAGATACGAGTTTAATTTGAAACAGAAGGTAGCAAGTTAAATGAGATACATTCTCTTAAAAACATCGGGTCATTGCGGAATTATGTCGGGTGACTTCCTCATTCAGTAAAAAAGGTAGGGTTAAATGAAAGTTCTCGCGACAGATCGATCCAAGAATGTTTGAGGGAGGGGAGGGAGGGGATGAATTTCAAGTTAAAATAAAAATACACACTTTTTTTGCACTGGAACCTGAATAAGGTAAGGAAAGGAATATTTCAAGTTGAATGAATCATTAAATCTTCAATTGAAGGAATTTAGGTTTACTAGAAAAATTAAAAACGGAGCGGGGGAAGATCGATCAGAATGCTTAAATTTAAGTTGAAGTATCGTTGCACTTTCCCTGAGGGTATCTGAGAATTTCAAATAACTTTACCTTTTGTATCTCATTCTTCACTCTTCGGACTCGATTCGCGATACCGCTGGTCACATAAACAGTAGTAACAACTCAAGTGGCAATGTTGAGTTTGCCGGCCTTGTATAGGAGAATGACAGCGTTTATTTTTTTCTTCTTTATATTGCGTTCACTTTACAGTGAAGGAAAAAATTAACTGCGTCAAGTTCATCTTCAAGTTTTTTAATCTCACGCTACCTTCATAAGAAAATAACGTTTCTTCCTTTTTTGGATCTCTTTTATTTGATAATGTGTTGTCGAAATAAAGCTTAAATACTTTTCTGATTTCTTTATAGTCTTAAGCAACTTCCAGCCGTTTTAGCCACACAATGCACACTGGAAAATTTTCTAAATCCTTATTTCTGTTTCAGAATATTTTCCTGCTTCTAGAGTATTTTATTCCAAACAAATACTGTTTATATCTCCTCTATTCCACGGGGTTTCATCACACAATGCCTTTACATTCCTCCTGAAGTGCTGTTAATTTTTTCCTTTTTTTTCACTTGCGAATTCATTAGACACAATGCCTTTGTTTCCTCCTGACTCTTCATTAGTTGGCTGGGCGTGCAAATACAACCCGCGCCAAATCTATGACGTATCAGCCGATCAGTGGCTGGAGTTGTTAATCCATATTCATCAGAAACTGTAGAATTTTCACCAAACTTCGCTTTCCGCCGGACGGTGAAGGCGTGCAGGTCTTATTTCTGAAGATTAAGTTACATCCAGAAGGAAGAAAACCCTAAAACTGTAGAGAAGAACAATAGACAACAGTTTTTTGTTACTAAAACAGAAGGTGAGCTATCTTTTGGAAAATATTGGATTCATTTCCTTCACAAAGCTGTACGAATCGCAAATTCTTAGTTCAAGAAGTGAACACGTGTCTGCATGTTGCTTGGTTTCTGGGGTTCTTAAATTCTCGAGTTCCCCTCAGTAACGGTGTCGACCTCTTCAGAAGCAGAATCTATGTCTTGTGTTAGAAACTTGTTACTATCTCTTGGCGGAACGCAAAATAAAGATTCTATCAAAGTTAGTTTTATTGGCGAAGACGTTCTGTAGTTGAATGCTGCCCTGAGGATTTTTGAAGACTCTTGTACCAAATCTTACGCCTACGAATTCTATATAGTAAAATATTGTGCAAAAAATGTTGGATTGCGTGTCGCTGTAAGCAATGTTTTATGATATTTTTGTATAGATTTAAAAGCGTTAGCAGTACCTAATCATATTCCAAATTTATATCTCCAGGAAGAGAAATTTTGACAGAGGAATGGAAGGATAAATAATTTTGCCGAGGAAGGTCAATTGAACCGATGAATATATAGAGAGGATGCTACAAAGATAAGATGCTTTATATTATTTACCATAACGGTAGCAAAAATGGTGGCTGTCTTAATGTATCTAAGTAATCTAAGCCTGAGAAGACTTTACTCATCTGAAGTTGGCTGGCGTCATTCATGTTGTGCATAAAAATGGATGAAATTACTTGGTAAGTGACTAGTTTACATCGAGCCACCATTTTTGGATTCATCTGCACTGGTACTGGTTGTTTTGCGAACTCTGAGCGATCGTGTGATCTAGTCATTGATTTTCACAACTTTCTATTATTTGGCGTAGTTTATCTCTTGAGAACTTCGTTACATTACCGTGATGAAATAAGCAATTGGGTATACATATAGAAATGACAACAAAAATCTGAACTAAAGATTGATGATTTCTTAGGATTGATCGCTCAGTTTTTGTTTGCTTAACAATTTTATGTCAAAGTTATCTTTTAGCTGATGTTGCAAAGAACGTGATATTTTTTAAGATGGCACTGTTGCAAAGGACATCAGAGACTGAATGAATTCTAAAATTAAAGCTAAAAAAATTTGAGATCAATTTGGCCTTTCTATCGTCGACCTACTTACCACACTATTGACTGGAACTCTACCCTGGCGATTGACATAGCAACGCTATTTTCAACGACTATCTCCAACCAACGAACTGTAAAGAACATTTTTACCGAGTCCAAACTGACTGTTAAAAACTGACCAATCAGTTTATCGAACCAAACTTACGTTATTTCATTTATAAACAACTGTCCACATGACTAAGACGGTGACAGATTGTCAAAACATCAGTCACTACTACCGACAGCAGTCCTTTACATTAGTGCCCACACGATCACACTGAATGACGTACTACACAGACACTAACAAGCATTAAGGAATTTTAAGAAAAGTTGCTTAGACC